TTGGACGTGAGGAAAAATGTCTTTACTGAAAGAGTGGTGAAACATTGGAACAGGCTGCCCAGGGGAGTGGTGGAGTCACCATGCCTGGAGGTATTTAAAAGACGAGTAGATGAGGCGCTTAGGGACATGGTTTAGTGGGCATGGTGGTGTTGGGTCGATGGTTGGACTCGATGACCTTGGAGGTCTTTTCCAACCTTAATGAGTCTACGATTCTAACTTTAGTTCTTAAAAGTTCATAAGAACTTAAACTGTTTTTATTAGGTAAGAACTATAAAGTCTACAGTTCTTTAAAGAAGTTTATTACTTCTTCTAAAGAACCCTTTTTTCTTAAAAGTAATATAGTTCATATGAATACAGTTCTTAATGAAAAGTTCTTTAAAAGTCTACATAAGAACTTTTATTGTTGACTTAGTTCCTAACTGACTTCTTAGTAACTTAATAAACTTTTTAAATAATAAACTTTTTTTATTAACCTAATAGAAGAACTATGGTTCCTTAAAAGTCTATAGTTCTTTAAAAGAGCTTTAGTTCTTTAAAGTTCCTTAGTAAAACAACTTAGTAAAGTGAAATGAAAATTTTAAAGTTTCTTAGTTCTTAACTGACTTCTTAGTAAGGTAAAATAAATTACAAAAAGTTCATTTACTAAGTTTTAAAGTTTATTAAGTTCTTTGTTAACAATTACTTTTTTTAAAGTTCCTTATTATTATTAAAGAACTTAAGTTCTTAAAACAAATTAGAAAAGAACTCTTCTTAAGAACTTTAATAAAAGAAGACCTTAATAAAAACTAAAACTAAATTTAATAAAAAAAAGTTCGTAAAGTCATTTGGAAGTTCTTAAATGTCATCTTTATTGTCTTTTAGTTCTTAATAAGTTTTCAATAACTTTGTCTTTTATTAAAAGAAGTTTACTTTTTTTTTTATTAAGTAGTTCTTAATAAAGTTTGAACTTAAGACAAGACAAAAGAAGTTTGCAGAACTTCAGTCTACAGTAAGTCTTAATAGAAAAAGACAATAGAGATGTTAAATAAGAACTTAAGAACAAAAACTTCTTTAAGTTCTTCTAGGTTCTTCACGGTCTTATTGTAGACTAAGAACTTCATTGCTATTTAAAAGTTCTTTAGGTTAAAACTTTAAGAACTTTTAAGACATTATTAAAGTTCTACTAAAAAAAGTTTGAACTTAAGAACTTTTTATTTCTTTAAGAACTTTTAATGTCTAAAGAAACCCAAGAACTCAGTTAAAAAAAGACATTATTAAAGTTATTAAGACAAATCTTCAAGAACTCAGTTAAAAGAACTTTATTATTTGTCTTAAGAACTTTATTGTTAAGTTCAAAAACTTCAAGAACTCAAGACAAATAAAAAGTTATTTTAACTGAGTTCTTGAAGTTCTTGAACTTAATAAAGAATTAGAGATATTTAATAAGTTTGTCTTTTTAGTTCCTTAAGAACTTTTAAAAAAAGAACTTTTTAATGTCTTTTTAAGACATAATAGAACTTAAGTTCTAAGACTATAAAAGACTAAAACTTTAGAAGTTTATTAATTTGTCTTATTTAAAACTTTTTTATGTCTTTATTATGTCTTTAAGTTCTTAAAGTTCTATTATGTCTTTTAAGTAACAAAGAACTTAATAACTTATATTCAAGACACAAGTTCAAGACCAAAAAAGTTTAAGAACTAAAGTTAGTAAGTTCAAGAACTGAAACAGACATGAAAAAAGTTCTCAAGGTAGTTTACATATGTTCAAGACAGTTCTTAAGTTTATAGTTGAGTTCTTGAAGTTCTTAAACTAAGAACTTAAAAGTTTAAAAACTTAATACTAAATAAATAATTTCTTAGTTCTAACTTTATTATTTCTTAAGTTTATTTAACTTAGAAGTTTTAACTTGAACTAAGTTCAAGAACTGTCTTAAAAGTTTAAAAGAACAATAAAAATTTGTTCACATATGTAAACAACTTTTTAGTTGTTCATAAGTAATTACTTAAAAAGACGTCATTTTTTCAGTTAAAATAGTTCTTTAAAGAACTATTATATGTCTTCAAGTTCAATAAATCAAACTCAGAACAAAACGCGCGCCCGCCCCCGGCACGGGGTGGCATCCTTCGGGCGGCTCACCTTTTGGAGCTGATGGGGACAAAGCATGACCAGAGGGACCTCGCACGCGGCAAGTAACTGAGGGGCTTTTCTTTCCAACACCGATGTTTCGGGGGCCGGGGGGGCGGCCAGGCCTGCACCCCTGCAGGACGCTGTTCCCTGAGCGGTAGGGACTGGAAGCAACTGAAGGAGAGAGTTAACACCCTCTGGGGGAACAAGTCCCCCCCACACACACACCTCTCTCTCTCTCACCCTACTTTTAACTACTTCTCTCAAGTTTTCAGCTCCTTTTGTCATTGCTCAAGCCCCAGCACCCTTCGAAAAATAGTTAAACCCAAACCCCAGGCTAAGTATCGCTCTGCCGGCGGCGCTGAACTGCCTCAAAGCACCTGAAATGCTCCCCAAAAAAGGAGCATGGAAATACCTAGCGATTGCAAAGGCAGATTGGAGATCCACAGGTTCCCCGCCCACCCACAAGCATCCCTCGCCACCCCAGCAGCACAGAGGCGAAGGGGCACAGCACGATCTGCCTTTGCGGTGATGAAACCCCTGCATGGCTTCCTGAGAGCATAAAACACCCCCCCGCGATGAAGACAGGCCGGCCTACCCTAAGGCAGCCGCGCGTCCCGAGGGCAGCTCCTCTCTCTCCAAGGTCACTTTCCCCCCAAAAATCCCACATACATCCAGGTTTTCTGACCAAAAACTGTTGCCGCAGCTACCCCCAGCAGCTCACCAGGGCGAGTGCTTTAACTCAGCTCTAGTACTTGAAGGAATCTTCATCGGTTTCCTGCTGTAACTCCTGTTTAGCGTCCGATCGACTCCTCGAAAGGATGCGAGCTGCCTTCTCTGTATGCTGGCACGGCACAGCCGCATTGGAAACGCTACCCCTAGCAGCGGGAGGCTAAAAGATTACTCAAGCAAGGTTCTTCTTGCTCTTCCCATTTCGGAGAAGCCTTCGGGAGGTGCTGAAATGGCATTCACGAGACGGAACAGACGAGGGAATACAATGCAAAAGATTTTTCCCTTTTTCATTGCGTTTTATTGAAAATGAGAAATATTGACTGCAAAAATCATCCCATTCTGCTTAAACGCCAGGCCTTCATTCCATCGATCAGTTCTCCAGGCAGCAAAGGACACAAACATCGCGATCACCAAAAAACAGTACTCGGAGGCCGAGCGTGGCCGCGTTGTGGCAAGCTAGAGGCGCTCTCCTCCGCGAGCGCGGAGGCTCCGGGCCGGCACGTGCCCTGGCAAAGGGCCTTCCTTCACCCGTCCCTAATATTTCCCATCAGCACAGTGCCAGGCTCCGGCTTGTCTCTATTTCACAGCAAGGACAGCATCCACAGCTCACGCTTCTCAAGACAACCACCTCGACAGACAGACAAAGGCCACCGGGAGCGTCGACGCCGAGTCACGGCGGGCACAGATTTCATCCGGCTGCGGGGAAGTAACTCTCACGCTTGGCGGGGACCTCAGAGCCCACACGTCATTTGCACGCAAAGAAGAATTTTTTACGGAGAAAGTTGAAACAGCCCGGGATCTGTTTGTACCTCCCCTTGGCAGAGACGGCGTTCGCCACCTGAGAACGGAAGGAGAGCGGTTGAGGAGCGGGATGCTTTCCCAACTCGCGCGTCGGGACACAACCTCTCGCGGGAAGCACGGTGACGAGGACGGCCAATGGGACCGTGGGACAGGAGAGCAGGCAGGTCTCCTAAAATGAGACATTTTCACCGGCAAAAACAAAGGGGACACGAGGGAACACGGCCTTTCAAGAAACCCAAGCCACCACTGCCTCCGACGGGTGCTTCTTGGCGTGAGTCACTACTCCCTTTCCCTTCCGGTGTCTACTTAAAAGCAGATTTCCTTTCCACCCATTTTCCTCCAGACACGCCCATCCTTTCTCCAAGGTCACTTTCCTTGCGCGGAATGCCAGCTGGCACAGCGGCAAAAATCATCCCATTCTGCTTAAGCGCCAGGCCTTCATTCCATCGATCAGTTCTCCAGGCAGCAAAGGACACAAACATCGCGATCACCAAAAAACAGTACTCAGAGGCCGAGCGTGGCCGCGTTGTGGCAAGCTAGAGGCGCTCTCCTCTGCGAGCGCGGAGGCTCCGGGCCGGCTGGCACAGCTGGGTCTCACGCTACCCCCTTGAAATCAATAGCTGCCGTGCCACTGCATGCCGAAGAAGCGCTGTGACACCAGGAAAATGACAAAAAAAAAAAAAAAAGTAGGTCCTCTCTCCCCCGCTGCCTCTGCAAAAGACTTTTCTGCTACTTTTGTAGAACAGCAAAAGCGTCTGGAAGTACCTACGCTTGTCCCATGCTCGGGCAATCTTCTCTAGTCAACAGGGCACGCAAAGGAAACCGTTTATTAGCCACACTGGTTCCACATTCCCGGCACACGGCACTCCTCGCGCACCAGGACACGTGAACACAAACATCTGGCATTGTCTTCCCGAGGGTGAGATGCTCCTCAAGACTTACCACGGTGTCACAGGAGCTCCAGAAGATGCAAAACCCAAAGAGAGAGCACCTGTGGAGATCTCCAGGCACGAGAGACCCAGCGGGTCTTACTCAAGAGCACGATGTGCCCGGACGCGTGGCGGCACGCTTACGACAGTGCCCCGTGTCCTGCCGGCTCGGGCTTTTGAGTGTGGGATGAGCTACGCTTTGGTCTAAGGCAATTTTTTAGCAGCTTCCTTGGCAAAGATACAAGCCTGTATTTTCAGACCTATTTCTCATTAGAGAAACCTCAAAGAGATTTTTGGCAGATTAATGCCAGACACTTTCTTAATAATTAGGCCTCTCCACAGTACCTCCAACTAGCCAACCCATAAACTGAACGCTCAATATCGTCCTTCCTTTTTTCAGTGTAGGCCTCCATGCCCTGACCGATTGCAGCTCTGACCATTTCCTTCATCATGACGACAAAAAACCAGGAAAAAAAAAAAGACATTTACCCGCAGTAACATGTTCAGGAATGGGCATGTTGCTCCAGCACGCTGTCCAGTGTTTCCACGTACCACGAGCCGCTCGACGCCTCCCTCCAGGAGACAAAACCTTCAGAGAAAGAATGAGAATGTTGCTGCTAAAGCCAGTCTTCTGTTCTCGTCTCACCGAGCTACTGCCGCTCCCTGGCTGCCCTCTCCAATGGAGTGAGTTGCCCCCAACCGACTTTGGCCATGAAGCTCCAACTTTTTTGCTAATCCCCCTGTACCTAGCAAAGGATTTGCACGGGCTATCTCACCTGGAAAAGTTGAGTAGGAGACCAAGATGTCGCTGGGTGTGGGCAAACTGGCTACGGCATCTGGCTCGTCCACGTTACCCAACAGAGTCTGAAAAGGAGTCGCATCCGACTCTAAAGAACCTCCAGGAGCTTCGTCGCCGGGTGAATCACAATCCACTACAAAGCCTCGATCTCGTTGTTCTGCAAAAAGCAGCAAGATGACACTCCCTGAAATTCATCTTACCCAAGCATTCAACAAGCGTACATCCTCCATTAAGAAAAGACAAAAAAACCCCAAAACCAAACCCCATAAAGGCCCTCCAACAAAACAAAGCTTTTCGGCTCTTCGGCTGCACTCGTTGAGTCGGAGGCATCGGACGATTCAGGTGAACGCCCTCGGTTCGTGCTTCCCCACCAACCTCATGGCTGAAGACCAGAAGCGGCCAGTCAGCAACCACTGCCTGGCCGCGTGCTTCAATTACTCCCCTCCTTCCATCCCACGTCTCTCTACCGTGCAGTAAAACCATTCCAGCACATGAAAATCGGTACCGCCCTCCTACGAGAGGCTCGTGTCTGAGCCCTTAGACTCAACCCATGCTAGCGGTCAGAATACGTGGCCAAGAGTAAGAGAAGACAGCCCGAGAAACAGGCGACGAACAAAAAAGGAACAAGAAGCCAAAGCCTAACCACATCTCCGACGCCTGCTTACGCCCAACAGCCAATTCGCTTCGGGAGCTAAAACAAAGATTCACCTCCGCCACAGGCCTGGATGAAGAAGAGTTTGGGTTTTCCTCTCAAACTCGGGCAATTGGACCCATTGAAATAGTTCACAATCTTTTCTATCGGAATGGGTTTTCCATCCGTTCCGTAAATGCCTCCGGGAAACTGAATGTGGCTCGTCTGCAAGAGGAAAATCCAGGAGCTAGTAACGCGGAAGGTGAGGCCAGTTCCGAGGGAGCCCGCTTCTGATCGGGTGCTTTGTGGCCTAAAGTTACCAGAACAAATCTCACTTCCTCGCGTGTGGAGGAATCTCACTGCAAACGCACGCACCACGTCAGGGTGAGGGGACGCCCGGGAGTCATTTGAAACACACTAAATCCCAGCAATCCGACTCCTCTTATTATCTAAATCCTATCCCGCCTCCTCCAGCGACAGGGTTCTTCATCCTCTGGGACAACGGGCACATAATATACGCCATTTTCCTAATGACTGCTCTCCTCTCCTCGTCCTTCAAGGCCTCTGACTTGCGATAAATAGGCTTTACGACTAATAGCATCTCCCTGGTCAGAGCTGGAGAGACAGGAAGGACTAAACGACCACAGTATGAGGGTTAGCACTACCTCCCTTCGCTCTCTGCCCATCGCTCAGGTCTGAATTACACACCCCAACTTCCAAGAGGGAGAACCACTTGTCCACTGGATCAGACCACACTGGAGAAGCTCCTGTTTTCTTTAACCCCAACACAAGAACGTAACTCTCTGCGACGTACTGCGACGGCAGAACGGCTATCGGATCGGTCACGACAGACGGTTTCCCTCCCTCCCACCCACCCTGCGTGAGACCGCGGCGCAGGGGATGCCCCCTTCCCGCGCGGGCAACCGGGCTAACGAGCAAAGGGAGAGATGCGATGAACCCACCTGACAGCCATGGGAAAGGATCACCACGATGCAGCAGTCCGAGGCGCTGTGGTCCCGTCGTGCCAGCTTCTGCAGCTCTGAAACCATTTCCTACGTAGAAAACGTCACGGTAAGAGTTTTTCAAAAAATACTTCAGCCACAGATTACTGCCGGGCCCTGCTCTTATCAGTCTATCCCGGCTGCGCTGCTCAGAAGGATCCGGTCGATCTCTCTGCCACGGGATAACATGCACCGGCACCCACAGGCGGCAAAACCCATCAGCAGACAGCGAGTATTTCTGCAGTTCTGCCCTTATTGAACATTGGTAGCTTTAATTACAGAGGTTTCTCTCCTCGCTGCGTTCTTTACAACACAGCAATGTAAACCAAAACACGCTTCCACGGGCTTTATCCACTGAAACGCACCGCTGCTGACTGGGGGCCGGTGGGGGAGCAGAGAACCTTGTTTTACTTTCAGCGGCCGCTCCGGATGATTGAGCTCGCTCCGCCGCTTCGAGTAACAGCTGAGGACTGTACAGGCAGGCAAGTCACACCCCCGGCTGCAGACAACGCGGAGGCTGTCAGAGCTATCACAGGAATACAGCCTCGCCCATTTCCCTGCAAATCACAACCAGGACTCAAAGTTCAGGCCGAAAGGCGAAAACATGCAAGGTCCTTTCTCCTTCTGCAATTGCAGCGTGACAATAAAATAAGAGGACGCCAGCGGTTGATTATTTCTTCGTGCGGCGCAGGCTGGGGCTTTCGGCGTGCTGCCAACACGGGGGGTACGTCCCATAACGTGCTCCCATCACTCTGGGGGGCTCGCCTCTCTTCCCTCCTGTTAGCTGGACGCGGCCGGCCTCACCTCAGCTTTGAGATCCCGCCGAGTCAGGACGTCGAAGCGCAAGGCCTTGAAGCGCTTCTCCAGCTTCTTGCAGTCCACGTCGGAGCCTTC